TTTGGATATTGATGATATAATATTAAAGGTTAAAAGATTATTAAATGAAAAAAGTTTTAAAAGTAATGCCGAAAGATTACAATTTTTAGCTAAAATTAATAGTAAAAGAAAGTATAGAGGTGCTGATTTAATTGAAGTGGTTTTAAATACGGCAAAACATGAAAGGTTTATTAATGGTGATTCTAAAATTGATATTGAAAATTTATTAAAGGATTGGATTACTCCTAATACGAGAATGGGTTTTATTAAAGGAAATTATTTAGATGTTTATGCTGTTGTTTTTATTCTACTTTTAATTTTTAGTTTTATTTTAGTGAATATTATCAAATTTATTTTTATTATAAGTAGAATTTCTCAACAACCATTAAGACATAGAAAAAATGATTAATCAATATAAGGTGAACGATTTATACAATATGCTTACATCCATTCCTAAATCTAATATATATTTATATTTTCGGGCAATTATAAATAACTAGAATTAGATATTTGTAATTCGTTTGATGTAATAACGCTCATTTTTTAAATAAACTTGTATACTATTAAATTTTGTATTTATATAGTTACATATTTGATTGGTCCATTTTTCGCGAAATAAAATCTACAAGTTATTTAAAAGTCGTATCACCTAAAAATGCAAATGTTTTCCTGTCACAAAATAACGGTATATTATTCGTCTAAACATTATTTTGAAAATTAAAGCTACATGCACGTAATAGTTTTGTTTTGAAGTAAAAACATACATTCGAATTTGTATATATGCAATGTCGCTCAACTTCCTGACTGTCATTTCTCTGACAAGCCATCTAACCTACGTCACGCAAAGTATCAATTTAGCATTTTATTAATTTTATTGGCTGCAGTTAATTTTCACACTGTGATACTGTATCGATTAAATGGCCTGTCAAAAAATGACATCGGAAAACGGATACATAACCGTACATACGTATAACAATCACTAGTTTCAAGGGTTTCATAAAAGGAAATTGCACTCATGCAACGACTTAAAAAACTAAATACTACATTGTGGTTAAGTGTAAAGTAAGATAGAAAATAAACCAAAAAGAATCACTGTCGGGATATAATTGGTTTCACGTGATCGATGTGCAGGGGAATGTTCACGGGTATACGATTGATAGTAGGATCGACGTAATTAAGAAGGTTGTGTAACTTAATGAGATTCGCATTGTATTAGTAATAGAGTTACCAATGTAAAAGTTTAATTTGTATAGCGTAATGAATGTATGATGTAAACTCACATGAGCAATAATTAAATAAATAGTGGGTTCGATCCTAGAGATCGAACCTAGACTTTGAATTTCGTTGAATAAACTAGTACGTACGTACGTACATACATATGAGATAGTAAAGATTTTTTCAATATTATATAAAATAATACTGTATACTTATTGACTATTCTCTAATTGCAAATTTCCTTAAAATACATGTTTCAAAACTTTATCACAACATCTTGCATTTAGGCCTAACTATATATGTTGTGTGTCAAATTAAAATTTGTTAAATAAAAAATGTAGCAAATATCGAGTTTTATTAAAATTAGAGTAAAAGCTTATTTCAGGGAATGTTAGAATAGGCAAAGTAATTTTATAAGAATTACTAAATATATACCGTAGTGCACTGACCAAAAGACCCGGGGCCTAATACAAAACACCCATAAAAAAAACTTACAAAAGACCCGGGTATATTATGCTGTAGCGGGCCTGTGCATATACATATTTTGCATTTTCAGTAAGCAGTCCAAAATTTTTTTTAAAAAACTATATTTAATTATTATAGATCTCGTGTTTTGCACCGGGTAATTTGCAAGGGGGGTATTGGAAAGGGGGTACAGTATAACCTTGATATAACGAACCTCGATATAGCGAATAACGAAGGTCATTCCAAATTTTTATATTTAAATTAGCCTCGATATAACGAATCTATAAGAAATTTAGATACAACGAAGAAAAACCTCCAGCTCCAGAGCTTCGTTATATCGAGGTTATACTGTATTTTGGTCAATACGCTATGGTATTTATATAATTGATCAAATGCAGTGAAAAAATTGACGTGCGCTATGTTCATTCCGCACATAAGTTTTATTGTTGTGAACAAACACATTATATTTATTATTTTGCTAATAAAAATATCCGGTGATGTGCGCTATATTTTAATATTTACCAGCACCAATAGTATAAGTCGAATTTTAAAGAAATGTAAATAATATAGGAATAAGAACATACTGAATTGGTAATTAGATGTCTATATAAACATATACATAGGTTTATTTGTTAATTAGTCAGCCGTAATGACAATATCAATATAAAAAAAATTTAAATACAGTACCATTAATTATTAGTGTACTAAGCACACATTAATTTTAAAATTTAGTGCGCAAAGTGAACATCAAATTTCAAAATTTAGTGCGCAGAACGCACATAATTTAAGTCTGAATTTTTTTCACTGATCAAATGATAGCGTTGGTGTGAATAATTAAAACTGAGATTAAAAAGTATGTTACTAGAAATAGAATTATCGTAAGAATTAGATCTTAAGTATTAACGGGATAATAATTATTTTAGATATGAACTTGACGCACGCATATCTTTCGGCCAACCCTATATTCAACTTAAGCTATCGGCTTATTCATTAACGGTTTTTATTGTGTATACAAATTAAGTCATGCAGACAGTATCCTACCCTAAATATATTCACTCAACGCAATTAAATATCCAATTCATGAACATATAGGTGGGTTTACATGGGTTTGTAAAATGCACGCTATTTAATGCTATTTAATGTAAGTTTTTTTATTAAGTGTATATACCGGGTGTTTGATAAGTCTCTGAACAGGACATATATGTTATTGTCCATGAAATGTGGATCGATAATCGAGTAATGACGGAATGGCTAGTTGCGAATAGTGCTCCTAACGGGTTTGATCTGAACGACCCGTAACTGATATGGCTATAGTAAATTTATTCTATGGGTCATGACCCATATACTAAATTTACTATAACCAGATCAGTTTCGGGTCGTTCAGATCAAACCCGTTAGGAGCACTAGTTGCGAAGCAGCCAGTGTGCACTGATCCACATTTAATTTTTGATTATTATCTACCATAGTGCACTGACCAAAGCACCCGGGATCCAATACAATCTAACCAAAAAAAAAAACTTATAAAGTACCCGTGGGTATCTTGATCGGTGACGGTTATCTTGTATGGGAGTACTTCATGCGGTCTTACATATGTAATGCAGAAATCAATATGTGTTAACGTGAAAAATGCGGGTATTATCCTCGGTTAAAAAAAAATGCTATACAAAATACCCGGGTATTTTGAGTGGGGTACTCAAAAAAGGGGGTACTTTGGTCAGTGCATTACAGTAGTAATTGCATTAATTTCAGCATCCCCTTAGAAGTGTACCCTCTTCCGATCTTAGTATCCTCTTATTATTTTAACCGGGTATAAATAAAGAATAAATATAATTTATACTGGTGTTACGATCAATTCGTAACATAAGTGTTAAATCAGTGCTAGACTTTTTTAAGAAGTGTTAGTCTGGATTTATAGGTTTCTTAATATGGTTATCAATACTATGTATTTAATCACTAGATACAGCTATTTATTGATTAGTTTTACTATTATCATAACGGGTTAACAATCAGACGACAGACTTGTTGTAGGAGGACAATTTCATTGAGAAAGATTAGACGATGTCTCTTCAACGATGCCAGCACAGGTTTTTTCAATTTTTAGCAGCTACCTTACCTCGTTTAGTACGTCGGGAGTGCGTTGAGCGTAACCCGGGTTTACATAAGGAGAGCATCTTCCTGCATTGGGGAAATTTTATTTTGTATTCGCAATGCAGGAAGATGCTCTCCTTATGTTTGTAACCAAAATTATTTAGTTAGCTTTATATGAGAGATTACAGATTTTTACGCATGATATAAAAATGATGACATCATATGTAAAATTACGTACGTACGTACATACGTTGTGACGGGCTCTGCGGCGACGGCTCCACTATATTTTTTTATTATAGTTAGTCTGTTCTATTTTATTTTTATTTTATTATAAGTTATACAGTATATATTATCGCTTCTGGCTATGAATTGGTTTGTACGTACGTACTTGTTCAATAGCCTTCCCAAAAATAGCAAGCATAGGTGATTATTACCTAAAGGAATTAGTGACCAAATCCCGTGATTCTGTATAAAGAGATTCGTGACGTAATTCAGAGCTCTAATCAGACGCTATTACTAAGAACCCAATTCACCCTGGTTACTCGGACCAAGTCTTTCCACGCCTCAATCGAAGCCTTACCAATATTAGTGTTTGGTTGTACTAGTTGTGGTGTTCTGGTTAGAGTAGTTTAGTTAGTTTTAGTAGTGTGTGGTTGTATTATCTAGAACCAGTGAATTTTTCGCACTTTTACAACGTACGTACAATTTTTTGCATGTTATCACAAAATATTACGCATGCTATAAAACAGACGATGCTTCCCCATCTGCATAATGCAGGCCGGCTGTCAGATGAACATGTGATATTTATATTCAGCAATTACGTATAATTATGAAATGGCAGGTTCCTTCGGCAATTTTGGCGTGGGATTATAATTGTTTTCATGACAGACCCTTACAGGCTAGTAATTGCTGTATATGGAAGGTCATCGGATCATACAGATCAAGAATAAACTACGTAATGTTTCACACAAAAAGAATAGATCACGATGTCATAATGTACACGTGCTACAATTTATCCAATCAAATTACGAATAAAGACCATTCAGTGTGCAGGGCAGATCTCCGATTTCTTTATTGTATATTTTAATAGGATATTGAATTTCTAAAAAAATAAATTATTTATTTATATTTGAATAAATTAGTTAAATCAAATATAGTAATTATAAATTATAGAGTCTAAAAAATTATATGGGCTGAGTGCTGTTAAAAAGGGGGAAATCAACAACAAAAAAAGATCTTTAAAAAATCAATTTTTATATTATAAATTTGATAATAAATCATAAGAAATTGCAAATTTTGAAAAGCTATACTGCAAAATTTTATTAATACAACCACTTTTGTGTCTTAAATAAAAAATAATCCTGAACTTATTTTAAATTAATTTATGCAAAAAAATTAAAATTAAAAAATTTGGCAATTTCCCCCCTTTTTGCAGCACCTAGCTCATATTTTTAAAATGATAAATTTTAGAAAAATAAACAACAATATTAAAAACTATATTCATAACTATTACTACCTAGATAACCAATCTATGATGACCAAATTTAGATTTTGAAATAGATACATTTACTAATTCTTACATAGATTCTTACCCAATCTAATCTTTAATTTTAACTAATAC